AATCATTTTCAAAAACACAATTATATCCAACAGGCACCAAAACCAATAACCCAATGTGTAACCTTTAGTGACAAAAAAACTTCAGACAGATTGAACTGAAAACTATCCATTTTTTCAACAAAATAAAAACTCAACCCGAAAAACAAGCAATTCATTAGAAACCAAGCAGACACCTCTGAAGATGAAGATTACTTTCATCAAAACCAACAACAATACAAAGCAATTAACAAAAAGTCACTGGAATACTATAGTTCAACCAGTTGATAATTTTCAACCAGAGATTTTCGAACCTTACATAAACTCTCAACAACCAAGGCAATTACAACAACAATCTTTTCAACAACAACACATTCTGGATACTCAGTAGAAGACGACTAGAAGTGCTGTTAAATCTAACCTAATCCTAAACAAAGGCCCGAAACCTATAAACACACCACTTCATCAAAAATGGGTTCACATCGCACAGCACTGATGCAAACCACACTCGATGGCGGAGCCCGAAAATGGTTTTCAGTAACACCACTAGAAGTTAAATCCGATTGAAATTTATTGACTCAACGTTATTCAAAAACATTTGACTCTGAACGAAATAAACAACATCAAAACGTTTTGTGCAACGAAAGTTGTAGACTTCCGATTGAAACCATAAAACAAATCGCAGTAAGAAACAAAACCCTAGTACGCAAAACTTATTCTTTCAATCCTTATGATTACAAAAATATGAAAGTGAGATAAATTCTAATGATGACCTTAGCACCACAATTAATAAAAAGAATCACAAGCATCATAAATCCGAGAATCTTAAATAGATTTCGAAAAACTAGTAGACAAGTTAGAACAAGTTGAAATCATCAGGAAACTACAAGAAAAAGAAAATTTAAAGCTACCATAATAGAAAATGTTCAAACAACTACTTCCCATTTAGACAAAATTCATGACTTCGACAACGAATTAGCAGAAAAAATTACTGAAATCCTGAACGTCTATGAAAAGAATCCAAATTTTGAGGGCAAGCCTTCATTCAAAAATGGTGTAACTATTGTCGCAGATTCGGACATAGCATTGCTGAATGTAGACACAAACAACAAGATAATTTAAATAGACCACCAAAAAACAGAGAACTAAACATACCTTTTTACCAATACATGATAAAAGACCAGAGTTTTCTGAACAAAGGCCTGCATAGTAATAAAAGCTCAGGAAACCCACTCCCAAATAGCTATAATATTAAAAGATCAAAATCCCCCTGCTCTAAAAATTTTCGCGGAAGACCACTAGATCGACGATATTCACAAAACTGTTCACAAAATCGATATAGTAGATCAAATAGTCAAAAGGATCAGTACAGAAATAATTACTCTAGATCGAACTCTAAAAGAAATAATTACTCAATTTATAATAAAAATTGCTCATATTCAAGCCGTTGGAGTAAAAACTATCCCAAGGACCGCTCAAGAACTTCTACAAACGACCGCAATCGAAATAGATACTACTCTTACAATAACTCACAAAACTATTCTGACAATAGACCGCACAATAATTAATTATAAAACTAGATCCCGTGATAATTCTAAAAATACAAACAGCAACTCAGATCAAAGCAGATCAAGAAAATTTTCTCAGTCTACGTATCGAAACAACTCACAATATTCAAGTCGACAAAATCAAAACTACAGAAGTAGTACACCAAAACACCAACGACAAAAAAATCAAGTAAAATCTAACAATCAACAAATGAAACAATCCCAGAACAAAGAGACGGTAAAACACTCCTCTGGCTTCACCCACCAGAACAACGTCGCTTCTGGTACATATGCCTACCATGTGCTAAAATCCCAACCCTCAACGCTCAATTTTTACTAGGAGTAGCTCTGGGGTGAGCGACTCTTTAAAATAACCTTAAAAAATTTCTAAACACCGGATGGGTGGAACCAGTTCAAAACAAGTATTTTTTAAAATTTTTTTTTGATAAACTATCTCTGTGAAAAACTTAGAAACAACCAATCATGATCCATAACTAACACAATTACAATAATTTGTATCAAAGCAGAATAAATTCAACTTAGCAAACTTATATATATTAAAAATGAAACAATATTAGCAGACAATTGATGAAAAAAAATTTGCAGACAATTGATGAAACAATATTAGCAGACAATACAGATTATGTATAGGACCCTGTATTTTTTTTAACTTCGTAAATCATATTTCAAGTGCTGCATTTATAAGTATATCCGTACACAGAGATTATCTAAGAGTAGCTCCTTTAACAACTGACACCACAACCTTAAATTATAACGCAAAATTTATTCAAAGGACAAGCAAAAAAGTTTAAATTCAACATTTCTCAATACACAGGAAACCCTTAACGGTACCAAAAATTTTACACAAAAAGATATGCAAACTCCATCACATTTTTAAAGCGAAGAACTAGTTGAAACACAACCTATAAGAACACAACAAACTATCTCTCCTATTCATCCAACACTTACACCACCACACAAAAAATAAAACTCCTTTTCCATCAGTGACCTTACAATCAACAGTCCCAAAATATTTACATATGGATTAACAAACAAATAGACCAATAACTAAAAAGCGATAATGACAATAAGGACACTCAATTTGAAATACCTTCGCAAGACATAGTTATGATTTTTTCGCAAATAATAACATTAGTTATCCAATAGCACGACCCCTCTATACAACACAAAATCATTTTCAAAAACACAATTATATCCAACAGGCACCAAAACCAATAACCCAATGTGTAACTTTTAGTGACAAAAAAACTTCAGACAGATTGAACTGAAAACTATCCATTTTTTCAACAAAATAAAAACTCAACCCGAAAAACAAGCAATTCATTAGAAACCAAGCAGACACCTCTGAAGATGAAGATTACTTTCATCAAAACCAACAACAATACAAAGCAATTAACAAAAAATCACTGGAATACTATAGTTCAACCAGTTGATAATTTTCAACCAGAGATTTTCGAACCTTACATAAACTCTCAACAACCAAGGCAATTACAACAACAATCTTTTCAACGACAACACATTCTGGATACTCAGTAGAAGACGACTAGAAGTGCTGTTAAATCTAACCTAATCCTAAACAAAGGCCCGAAACCTATAAACACACCACTTCATCAAAAATGGGTTCACATCGCACAGCACTGATGCAAACCACACTCGATGGCGGAGCCCGAAAATGGTTTTCAGTAACACCACTAGAAGTTAAATCCGATTGAAATTTATTGACTCAACGTTATTCAAAAACATTTGACTCTGAACGAAATAAACAACATCAAAAAGTTTTGTGCAACGAAAGTTGTAGACTTCCGATTGAAACCATAAAACAAGTCGCAGTAAGAAACAAAACCCTAGTACGCAAAACTTATTCTTTCAATCCTTATGATTACAAAAATATGAAAGTGAGATAAATTTTAATGATGACCTTAGCACCACAATTAATAAAAAGAATCACAAGCATCATAAATCCGAGAATCTTAAATAGATTTCGAAAAACTAGTAGACAAGTTAGAACAAGTTGAAATCATCAGGAAACTACAAGAAAAAGAAAATTTAAAGCTACAAAAATAGAAAATGTTCAAACAACTACTTCCCATTTAGACAAAATTCATGACTTCGACAACGAATTAGCAGAAAAAATTACTGAAATCCTGAATGTCTATGAAAAGAATCCAAATTTTGAGGGCAAGCCTTCATTCAAAAATGGTGTAACTATTGTCGCAGATTCGGACATAGCATTGCTGAATGTAGACACAAACAACAAGATAATTTAAATAGACCACCAAAAAACAGAGAACTAAACATACCTTTTTACAAATACATGATAAAAGACCAGAGTTTTCTGAACAAAGGCCTGCATAGTAATAAAAGCTCAGGAAACCCACTCCCAAATAGCTATAATATTAAAAGATCAAAATCCCCCTGCTCTAAAAATTTTCGCGGAAGACCACTAGATCGACGATATTCACAAAACTGTTCACAAAATCGATATAGTAGATCAAATAGTCAAAAGGATGAGTACAGAAATAATTACTCTAGATCGAACTCTAAAAGA